CCATTTATCTTGTGCTCTACACTCGGTGTAATCTGCCATCGTGTCACACACTTATAATTAACCTCAACCTCTCTCATACTAACATTATCGTGTATCAATCTAAACATCTTTCTCTGTCTATCTTCATCAAATCCAACTCCCATATCCCTTTCCCATTTTGTCATAAAAATTAACTTTGTGTTTGTGTCTAATTCTGTGAGTATTCTATACACTTTTGAGATACCGTGCTTCCCATCTCTTCGTGGCTCTAACAACCTTTCAAACATATTCCACTTCTGTTTTATTCTTAGGGGTTTCGGTAGATTTCCAATAAAACTTTTCAATTGATGATATTTCCACTCATCTATTCTAATAAAAATATCTCCCTTCTCTATTAACTCTTTAAGTGATCTCAATTCTCCCTCCACCAAAACATCTCTCAATTGGGTATCCTCCTTTCTAAACCATCTCCCTGATATCTTATTCTTTCCCGGGGGGAAGTACTCAGTATTTGTGAGAGGCATTAATATAGCATTAAATTCCCATTTCATGTTCTTGTGTAAATTATCCCATACCCTAAAGACATTTAAAGTGTAGATACTTGTACTTTCTTTAATTCCCCTAAACTGTGGTGGAACCCATATCATCTGGCTCAATCTATTGCCGCTAAGATCATTTTCAATTGTTACCCAACTTTTCCCCTTATGGTTAAATGTCCAGTCATATATTCTTGCTAAAACCACTGCTTTATAGTATCTCTTGACATCTGGTAGGCCCAATCCCCCTTTCTCTTTAGTCCTACTCAATGTTTCATATGCTATTCTAGGTTTTTTGTTCTTCCAAATATATCTTGTTAACATTTTTTTCATTATCTTAAAGAAGGCTTCTGGAATTTTAATTGGTACCTTTTGAAATCTATACAGTATTTTAGGCATATTTACCATTTTGACTAGATTTATACGTCCTATCCAGGATGGATTTCCTCCTTCTAGTCTTTTTAAATCTTCCCTGATCTCATTTATCAAAGAGATATAGTTTAGTTTAGCATATAGTTTATATATGGTTAGTTGCTATTTATGTAGTAAGGACAAGTTGTAATGAATTGTAATCATGGAAGGGAAGACACACCTCAAGCGTTACAGTTTTAATATTTAATCTGTTTTATGTACTTCACCTTTAATACCTTTATGCTGACTGAACAGATTTCATTTCACTGTTTTATTCCTATATAAATAATTTAAATATAATGTGTGACTTGGTACAATGCTTTGTTCCCTTCTCTATTGCCTATAAACTACAGTGGATATAAAAAGTCTACACACCCTTGTTAAAGTGTCAGGTTTCTGTGATGTACAAAAAATGAGAAAGATAAATAATTTCAGAACTTATTCCACCTTTAATATGACCTATAACCTGTACAACTCAATTGAATAACAAACTGAAATATTTTATGGGGGGAAGTAAACATAAAACATTAAAATAATGTGGTTGCATAAGTGTGCACTCCCTCTTATAACTTGGGATGTAGTGGTGTTCAGAGTTAAGCAATCACATTCAAAATAATGTTTAATGGGAGTCAGAACACACCTGCCTTCATTTAAAGTGCCTCCGATTAACCCCAAATAAAGTTCAGCTGTTCTAGTAGGTCTTTCCTTACATTTTCTTATTCGCATCCTAAAGCAAAAGCCATGGTCCGCAGAGAGCTTCTAAAGCATCAAAGGGATCTTATTGCTAAAAGGTGTCAGTCAGGAGAAGGGTACAAAAGAATTTCCAAGGCATTAGATATACCATGGAACACAGTGAGACAGTCATCAAGTGGAGAAAATATGGCGCAACAGTGACATTACCAAGAACTGGACGTCCCTCCAAAATTGATGAAAAGATGAGAAGAAAACTGGTCTGGGAGGCTGGCTGCATGGTATATGTGACAATAATCTCCCGTGTTCTTCTAATGTCTGGGCTAAGGGGTAGAGTGGCAAGACGGAAGCCTTTTCTTATGAAGAAAAACTTCCAAGCCAATTTTGCAAAAACACATCTGAAGTCTCCCAAATGCATGTGGAAAAATGTGTTATGGTCTGATGAAACCAAGATTGAATTTTTTGCTATAATTCCGAAAGATATATTTGGTGCAAAAGCAACACTGCACGTCACCAAAAGAACACCATACCCACAGTGAAGCATGGTGGTGGCAGCATCATGCTTTGGGGCTGTTTTTCTTCAGCCGGAACTGGGGCCTTAGTCAAGGTAGAGGGAATTATGAACAGTTCCAAATACAAGTCAATATTGGCAAAAAATCTTCAGGCTTCTGCTAGAAAGCTGAACATGAAGAGTAACTTCATCTTTCAGCATGACAACGACCCAAAGCATACATCCAAATCAACAAAGGAATGGCTTCACCAGAAGAAGATGAAAGTTTTGGAATGGCCCAGCCAGAGCCCAGAGTTGAATCCGATGGAAAATCTGTGGGGTGATCTGAAGAGGGCTGTGCACAGGAGATGCCCTCTCAATCTGACATATTTGGAGTGTTTTTGCAAGGAAGAGTGGGCAAAGATTGCCAAGTCAAGATGTGCCATGCTGATAGACCCATATCCAAAAAGACTGAGTGTTGGGATAAAATCAAAAGGTGCTTCAACAAAGTATTAGTTTAAGGGTGTGCACACTATTGCAACCATATTATTTTAGTTTTTCATTTTTACTTCCCTCCACCTAAAAGATTTCAGTTTGTTGTTCAACTGAGTTATACAGTTTATAGGTTACATTAAAGGTGGAAAAAGTTTTGAAATGATTTATCTTTGTCTAATTTTTTTACATCACAGAAACCTGACATTTTAACAGGGGTGTGTAGACTTTTTATATCCAATGTACATCATATCTTTAGTACATAAATAAGAATCCAATTTACTTACTATTAAATTAGGATTATTTTAAATGATTTGGGCAATTTCTCATCAGTATGTACTTTGTTATTTCTATTGCAAATCCAAACACTGGAAACATGCGGAAGAGAACTGTTTGAGTGTATTTCTTCCTGGTAAAGAGGCTACTGGATGAACAGCAACAGCTGCTGCAATAGAGAGGGATGATGATGTCAGTAAAAACAGATCAATTGACATGTATCTCCAACATAGTGATACAGAGACATCTGCTTCTGACATTTTAGTTTTTCCTTTACTTATAACACTAACTAAATAACGTTTTCTATAGACAGGTATCCCCATGGCTGTTGGGATGCAAGTCGGTGGTCCCCCCAACATGCTGATATACCTTAAAGCTGAATTCCAGGAATTCAGCAACTTTGCAAAAAGTGCAGACACACTATGAGTTAAGTCCAATTAGGTGTGTGTCACCTCTTATCTCTATCTCTATTATTTATATGTGACAGGTTAATTGCACTCCTTGGTGATACACTCTGGCTGCGAAAGGAGAAAAGCACAGAAAGCAGCTATGCCTACCCCTCCCCTCTTCTGCCCATTCACAGAAGCCTTTGTATTTTGTGAATAAGTTCACATAATACAAAGGCTTCTGTGAATGGGCAGAAGGAGAGGAGAGGCGTGTATAGCAGTTCCAGCGACTTTGCTCTTGAAGGAACTGAGATCACAGTGAACAGCATTGGAGTTCCAGAAGTTTTCTTCCTGGAGCACAATAAACCTGTCAGATTTGAACAATAGAGACAAGTCTAAGATATGGCAGGCACCTTGTTAGACTTAACTCATGGTATGCCTGCAGTTTTTACAAAGTAGCGGAATGCCCGGAATTCAGATTTAAGGTGACACTAAACAATATCCTTTTTTCTCCCAAAATAATCCAAACAGATCCACTACTTAATGGCTCAATAATCTATTTTCATAAAATCAATTCCTACTGTCTTTTTATTCACCTTTGTAATGTTCTCCATGAGTTCCTGAACCTTTCCTTTTCCCTTTCAATCCTGTTTGTTTGGGACAAGCAGTGCATGTTAGTTGAACTCATGTGCACTGCTCTATGCACACTACACATCCCACACTCCAAAGCTCCTAGTCCATCTCAGGAGCAAGTGAGAGAGAGTGGAACTATAGAGAATGAATACAGACACCCTATAACAGAAAGTCAGATCACAGCAGCAAAAATGATATTACAAGATCTCTAGAAGGCTGAGAGTAATAGAAAGTACATTGTTTTAAGAAAACATACTTGAATAGATATTTGTTTTTAAACTAGAGTCCAGTATCACTTCAATGCCACTCTGTTGCTATTTTAACCCCTTGCTGCCCTGCCATAGTGCATTTACTGCAGCAGGGTGGCAGGTGCAAGCGCAGACAGGTATATATATGTGACTGCCTTCTTCTGGGTCTGTGGGTGAACGCATGAGCACTCCCTACCAACCTGTGCTGTGATTGGACACAGCAAAAATTTGGCAGCTAATTTCAGCCTATGATTTTGGCTGAAGTCAGCTGATCTCCTGTGTCCAATCACACACAGAGCTCTGTGTTTACAAAACACAGAATTATGTGTGCAGGGAACAGCAATCTGGCTGTTTTTTTTCCTTGCCATATAGTAAAGTAAAAGCAGAACACATTACACATTGTTAGGGCCCTTTCACACAGGTGGACTTCCCCAAGCGGGTCTGCCTGCTTAGTGGGGGATCTGTCTGCTGATCCCTGCTAAGCAGGCGGATGACAGTTCCATGTCCACTCCGCTCGTGCAGAGAGAACAGACACTGCCTGCTGTTCTCTATGGGGTAGTCGGATGTAAATGGACCACCTATCCGTTTACATATGTCATCCGCTCCGATACCCTAGAGAAGTGATGGCGAATCTATGGCACGCGTGCCAGAGCTGGCATGCAGAGCCATCTCAGTGGGCATGCCAGGAAGAAGAGGAAGAACGCGCTCTCCTGCGCACCCCCGGGGGCGCGCACTGGGCGATCTCCGTGATCGCTGTGTCCTATGGACACAGCTGATCACGTGACGTGGTAAAAGGCCAATCACAGCGGCTTTTTACCACGTAATCAGCCGTGTCCAATGACACGCTGATCACCGGGAAATGCAAATGCCGGTTCTCGGCTGCACTTTCCTCACGCTGTCAGATCGTGAGGAAAGTACTGCCAAAAACCGGCAGTTGTCAGAGCAGGGAACGGCACCGATCATCAGGGTCACTGATCATCAGTGCCCTGATGATCGGTGCCCAGCAGTGCCACACACAAGTTCCGCCCACCTGTGTCCAGCAATGCACACATCTGTGCCCAGCAGTGCGCCCACCTGTGCCCAGAAATGCACCCACCTGTGCCGCCCACCTGTGCCCAGAAGTGCCACCTACCTTTGCCCAGTAGTGCCACCCACCTGTGCCAACCCACCTGTGCCCACCAGTGCCACCCACCTGTGCCCACCAGTGCCACCCACCAGTGCCCATCAGTGAAGCCCAGCAGTGCTGCCAGTCAGTGCCACCCGTCAGTGCCACCAGTCAGTGCCCAGTGGTTGTGCCAGTCAGTGCCCAGCAGTGCCGCCAGTCAGTGCCCAGCAGTGATGTCAGTCAGTGCCACCTATCAGTGCTGTCTATCAGTACCCATTATCAGTGTCGCCTATCAGTGCCACCAATCAGTGCCGCATATCAGTGCCACCCATCTGTGACACCTCATTAGTGCTGCCCATCAGTGCCACCCATCAATGATGCCCAGCAGTGCCGCCGCTCAGTGCCGTCTGTCAGTGCCTCCAGTTGGTGCTATCAGTCAGTGCCGCTTATCAGTGCCCATCATTTCCTGCATATCATGGCATCATCAGTGCCTCCTCATCAACGCTCACCAGTGCCGCCTCATCAGTGCTACCTATCTGTGCCGCCTCATCAATGCCCATCAGTGCTGCCTATCAGTGCAGCCTCACCAACGCACATCAAAGAAGAAATATTACCTGTTTGCAAAATTTTAGAATAGAAGCAAAGGAAACCTTTTATGTTTTTAATTTTTTAAAAAAATAAAACACCCAGTGGTGATTAAATGCAACCAAAAAAGCTCTATTTGTGTGAAAAAATGATAAAAATTGCATATCGTTACAGTGTTGCATGACCGCACAATTGTCATTGTTAAGTGCAACAGCACTGAAAGCTGAAAATTGTACTGGGCAGGAAGGGGGTAGAGGTGCCCGTAGGCAAGTGATTAATTCCAGTGTTGGCACTTTGAAATAAAAAAGTTGGTTTTGTGTTGCAGTTTGGGCACTCGGGCTCACTGCCCTAGAGTATGCCAAACTACAAGTTCCATGAGGCATTGGAAGATTGACAGTTACAGCATGACTCCCAAAGACAGGGTATGATTGGACTTGTAGTTTCTCAACAGCTGGAGGGCCGCCAGTTTGACACCCTTGCTCTAGAGGCATGGGGAACGGATCCAAATCTGTCTTTTTTAGCAGATTGGATACAGGCGGTGTAAACAAACAAGATATTAGTTTTATCCCATGTAGGATTAACAAGTAGCAGGAATAATCTTCCTGTTTGTACAGTGTATTTTATATAGGCCATAACCATCATTCTCAATTCTTAAGTTTTGTAAGTGGTGTGTGGGCTCAAGGAAAATTCTTATGGCCCTGTGCCCAGTCTGATCGGTTAATTTGTTCATTCACTCATCAAAACCATCCTGGTTGCACTGAAAACAATGTAAGCACAAAGGTTTGATTAATGAACTCATGCTAAAAAAAAAAAAAAATGGGGGGGGGATCTTGTTTATCATTTTAATGAAAAAGTTTAGAAAGAGGGGAGTTTATTGTGTTTATTTCAAGTGTATTTTTTTTATCAGTTTCTCATTATTTAAAGTGGAACTAAGCCCCCCTATCCTTTACAGCTTGGGAAGCTGACATCTTAGCTTCTGTTTGACCTGCAGTTACACATGTGATCACTTATGACTAGGGGCGGACTGACAACTCATGGGGCCCCCGGGCAATAGGGGATCATGGGGCCCCTGTGTCCTTGCCCAAACGCAAAAAAAGCTTATGAAAAAGGTACCAGGGGCATCTCATGGAGCCCCCTACTGACCCCGGGCCCTCAGGCAGTGCCCGAGTTTCCAAATGGTCAGTCCGCCCCTGCTTATGACATTAGCCATTGGATGGTTTGACAGTCCCATTGAGAGCACAAGCAAATGTGACAGTTATCATGACGGCTGTGTTACAGTAAGCATGCTCTCAGAAAAGCCATTCCCCATGGATGCATATGTGCAGTGGCTCTGCGTTAAAGCCCAGCCACCACATACAGTCGGGAAAATAATATTTGATCCCCTGCAGATTTTGTTAGTTTGCCCACCAGCAAAGAAATGAAGGGTCTGTCATTTTTATCATAGCTGTATTAGAATATCAACCAAAAATCCAGAAAAAACACATTACAAATGTTATAAATTGAGCAGCAGTTCAGTGAGTAAAATAAGTATTTGATCCCCTACCAACCAACAATAATTCTGGCTCGCACAGACTGGCTATGTGCTCATGTGGTACACAGATTAGCCCTGCCAATTTAAGAAGGTGTTCCTAACGACAACTTGTTATGTGTATAAAAGACACCTGTCCAAAGTATCTCTTTCTTCCATTCACCATCATGACCAAGATCAAAGAACTGTCAAAGGGCATCAGGGACAAGATTGAAGACCTGCACGAGGCTGGAATGGGCTACAAGACCATCAGCATGAAGCTTGGTGAGAAGGAGACAACTGTTGGAGTGATTATTCGCAAATGGAAGAAATACAAAATATTGATCAATCGCCCAGTCTGGAGCTTCGTTCAAGATTTCGCCTTATGGGGTAAGGATGATCATGAAACAAGTGAGGGATTAGCCCAGAACTACACAGGAGGATCTTGTGAATGATCTCAAAGCAGTTGGGACCACAGTCACCAAACTATTGATAACACAATATACCGCCATGGTTTGAAATCCTGCAGCGCGCCCGCAAGGTCCTCCTTGTCAAGAAGGCACATGTACAGGCCCATCTGAAGTTTGCCATTAAACATCTAAATGATTCAGAGAAGGATTGGGAGAAAGTGCTGTGGTCAGATGAGACCAAAATTTAACTATTTGGCATTAACTCAATTCGCCGTGTTTGGAGGAAAAAAAATGCTGCATATGACCTTAAGAACACCATTCCTACAGTCAAGCACGGAGGTGGAAACATTATGCTTTGAGACAATTTCTTTTCTAAGCGTACAGGTCGACTTTGCCGCATTCAGGGGCCAATGGATAGGGCCATGTATTGTAAAATCTTGATAAGAACCTTCTTCCCTCAGCCAGAACACTGAAGCTGGGTCATGGATGGGTCATCCAGCATGACAATGACCCAAAACATACTGCCAAGGCAATAAACGAGTGGATTCAAAAAGAAGCACATTAAGGTCATAGAGTGATCTACCAGTCTCCAGACCTTAATCATTTAGAAAATTTATGGAGGGAGCTGAAACTTCGAGTTGCCATGCGACAACCAAGAAACCTTAAGGTTTTCGAGAAGATCTGTAAAGAAGACTGGACCAATATCGCTCCTGAAATGTGTCTGAAGATGGTAACCAACTACAAGAAATGTCTTACCTCTCTGCTTGCCAACAAGGGTTTCTCCACCAAGTACTAAGTCATGTATTACTTGGGGATCAAATAATTATTTTTTTGCTCAATGAACTGCAACTTCATTTATAACATTTGTACCATGTGTTTTTCTGGATTTTTGGTTGATATTCTCTCTATCATTTAAAACACACCTATGATGAAAAAATTATAGACCCTTCATTTCTTTGTAAGTGGGCAAACGTACAAAATCTGCAAGGGATCGAATGCCAGTAGGCTGTAGTGCAGGACACTTGCTCTCTGAAGAGAGACAGTGGTCTCTTTGCAGAGATCAGATAGACCCCTTTGCTGAATCAGATACAGAACTCTCCAATCAGTGGGGAGCATAAGCTTTGTTGATTGCAGAGCTATAGCTCTGACTCGGTAGAAGGCAGGTGACCAATCATCCATAAATTTAACAGACAGTTTGTAAAAACACCTGGTTCTCACCTGTCCATAAATGTCCATGAATGGGACAAAACTGTCCATAAACATACAGAGGCTGGCTTCCCCCTGTAGCCTTCATGGTGGTTTACACTTCCAAGTTCCTCCCAAGTGGCATCTCTGCGGACTCTGATGTAAAGGGGAATCTGGGAACCCTGATTTAAGGGGGAACACTGGGAACTCTGATGTAAGGGAGGACTCTGGGAACCCATATTTAAGGGGGAACTCTGATGTAAGGGAGGACTCTGGGAACCCTGATTTAAGGGGGAACACTGGGAACTCTGATGTAAGGGAGGACTCAGCATTCTGGTCTGCAGCTTCCCCCCTTAAATCAGGGTTTCCAAGGCCACCCTTAGATCAGAGTCCTCAGAGTTCCTCCTAACATCAGAGTCCTCAGAGTTCCCCTTTACATTGTAAGGGGGAACTCTGTAGACTCTGATATAAAGGGGTCTCTGATGTAAAGGTGACCTCTGGGGACTCTGGAAACCCTGATATATAGGGAAATGCTGGATATACTGATGTAAAGGGGAGTCTGGGAATTTTGATATAGGAAGGGACTCTGATGTAACACAAGGACTCCTGATCCCTGCACCCCTATACATTATGTTATACAATACATAGTCCTGACCAAGGTGTTCATTGTCCCAACAGTTGATAGTTTTTATGCAGTTCTTCTTTAACCACTTGTTGACTGGTGAACAGTAATTTTACTACTGGCTGGCAGCTTGAGCAGGCACTGCGACGTACCAGTACATCACCCAGCTCATGCGCACTCATCCTGGGGCATGCAGCAGCATGATCTGCAACTGCTGTGTCCAGATTGCAGTGCTCGATATTGAGCCACTGTGATTGGCCCGGACACCACATGATCGCTGTGCGATCACATGTCACTTTGTAAACAACAAGCATGAATGGAATCCATTCATGACATCATTGCTTACTACGGTAAAACTCTGAGACTGAACATGTGGAATGTTTTTAGCTAATTTAAACTGAAGGTTCAAAAAATGTGTGAACTTATCTTTTATGTATTTAGATTTTGACATGTATGCTAAGGATCTTTTATTTAAAATGATGACTACTGCTCAAAAATTAGACTGGAATAATGTCCTAAAATATTCCATCTACAGAAAAATACAGAATTTACTGAAGCATTTCAATATCTGTGAACCATTCAATTTCTTTGGAAATTTTTTTAACCGCAATCTATGAAAACATTTTCAGACGTTTTTGTGATATAACTGTATCCAGCTCCAGTCATGGTACAGTGAAAAAGAAAGAACACCCTGCAGTCATACAATTTCAAGACCTAGTCAAAACATCATTACCATCTCTTGATTTATTGGTTTTGTCACTGTACCAGAACACCCTGCGGGGGATTTGGGATAAATCTGATTGATACA